AAAGAAAGAAAGAAAGAAAGAAAGAAAGAAAGAAAAAAAGATCACAAGGAACAGAAAATACGCTCATAGTTCTGTGCCGTACTTAAATCCGGGCACAGGTGGCCCTGTGCTGCTTGATCCCATGTTGTTCAAGGGCCAAGTATACTTTCCCTGCAGATGCATTTCCCAAACGACGTCCTACAAAGCTGGGAAAGGCCTGCCTACCAATTTGTTCCCAAAATGTAGTGGGGGGCCTGGTCGGCAGGAGGCATGGAAGTGTGCTGCCTTCACTTTAAAAACTAGAACAAGATGCGGCTACACAATGTCCCTGGTCTGCTGCAGCAATGCTCCCACTGCCACGGACCCGACTCCGAGTCCTGCTGATACCCACGGGGACGGGGCTGCCACACTCGTCCCCTGGAGCTCCTATGACTCCCTCCGCACGTGCAGTTACTGCTCAGATTCCCAGAAACACAGGAGGCGAGAGGAGACAAGGCCACAGGTCAGCGGCTGCAGGCGGTGGGTCCCTTGTGCCTTTCCTCGCTCGCTGTTGGGCCACAGTGGAGGCAGCAAGGGCAGAATGAGGCTCCGGGTCTGCTTTTCTGTTCGTGGTTTCCATAAACATCTTGCTGGCAGAAAGCCTTGTCTATAGAGAAAAGCTGACGCCCCACCATTCCAGTCCAGACCAGGATTTTTAGGCGCGGTAAGCAGGGTCCCAGGCAGACAGAGGAACGTGCCAAGGTGCCCAGCTGAACCACCCAGCTCCCCGCTTCGAACCAGCTCCTGCCCAGGGGCCTCGCCACCAGCCTTGTGGGCCCATCCAGAGGCAGTGAGCAATGGCCACCTGTTGTGAAATGTGCAGACTCTTTCTTTCCAACCGTCTTCAGATGTGCACAGAGGTCAGAAGACAGGCGAACAGGACTGAGAGTGTGTCCTTTCTTCCCGTGGCGCCCTCTGGCTACAGAGTACCAAGTTCAAGGCTGTCTACTGAAAGCTTGTTTTCACTGAAACAAGCACCCGACTGAGCTCCCTGCATTGCAGAGCACAGGGGAGCAGATTCTCAGAAGTTTTAACAGATAGGCGTTTATTCATTGTGCTTGGGGCGGGGGGGGGGGGGGCATTACCAGCACATCAGAGCCACGAGTCCATGGAAAGCAGTGCTTACGAGCAGGCATGTGAAACCCTCGCACAAACCCAAGAATGCCTGAAATCCTAACTAAAGGAACTTCCAACCAGAGATATCCAGAAATGTGTAAAAATGGGTAAAACTGAATGCACATTACACTCTGAAAGCCAGTTATTTTAAACTAACTGGTAAAATCTATTTTGCATGAACTGTTCTGGTCTTGCAAATCAACATCTAACTTGCTTCTCTTCCCCACTAAGTTTTTATCATTACCTGATATTACAGCTTGTATTTGTTTTGTTACCTCCCACTTGGGCCAAGAGATGGCTGATTACTTATGGCAATGGTGCGCCATGAGTGGAGAAAGAGTACATAGATTACCAGCTCGGTGGGCGTGGCAGAACCACGAACATTAGTAATGGGCATATCAATGAAATCTGGGAAATGCCTTATCAACCCTCAGGGACACACAGACCTCAACTTCACAGTTTTACACTGTAGGACACTTCGTGAACCTAACCTGACAAATATTTACATCACTATGCATGCACGCATTTACACGGGAGGCACGTGTGCTCGGATCAGCGACATTACGGAAGGGCACGTTTAACGTCATCCACATGTGCCACCGCAGCCAAGGCGCCCTGGGCCCTTCGACCACACAGGGTGGTGACTTCGGTATGAACGATTTGGAAAGAACTGCTATACTGAGAGGCTCGGGAGGTGCCAGCTAGGGTCAGAGGGCCTGGTCTGTAGTTAACAGTCTACCATCAAGACCAAACGATCAGAACCTACTTGTTAGAGCAGCGCCCATGGTGCAGCAGTGGTGACCAGGACCCGGTGGGTACTTGTGCAATCTATTCAAATATGTAACTCAGTACAAGCACAGTCTTATTTAAGACAGTACCTCAATTTTCTTTGTAAACGTAACTATGTCATACACAAAGATTAAAGGGAGGGAAAAGTGGCTTGTTCGCTCTGGTACCTACAGAATTTAGGACTTATACTGGTCACTTGAAATACACAGCCTTTTAAAATATCTTTCAACAGGCATATTCTTTCTCTAGATTTCAAGCTTCTCATGTACTTGAAAATGTAGAAAAGCAGTGAGCAAGCAGCTGTCGGCATACTACTCAGGCCCTCCAGCCACAAGGCCCTCCTTGTCAGCAGCGCATCCGAGACGCAGCCAAGAACCTGCATGCCGAGAGCACGCAGCCCTTCCCAGGAGGGAAGCGGGAGAGCGCCGCCCTCACCACTGGGGCTTCCTGCAGACAGCGCAACCCCTGGGAGCTGGAGGGGAAATCATCGCCCGGAGGCTTTCAAGAGTGGAAGGACAGGCCTAGGCAGCCACAGCACAGGCCAAAGACAGGGGGCATGACCTGCTCAGCACGGAGAAGAGGGCAGCACGATGGCATCTCAAGTCCTACGTCACCTAAGGCCACAACCTGTTATCTAAAAGCAAGTTTCAGAGTTGCTTACTTGTGGGACGTCCTTTTCTTCATCATGCTTGCAGACACACCAGCATGGCCTAAAAGAGAAGTGAGCATAAGTCAATAAAAACTGGACACAAAAATACTTCAGACCTTGGAAAAAATGAACTTCTAAAAAACTGCTATGCAAAGCATGAAATGGGGCGTCTGGGTGGCTCAGTCAGTTAGGCGTCCGACTTCAGCTCAGGTCATGATCTCATGGTCCGTGGGTTTGACTGCCGCACTGGGCTCTGTGCTGACAGCTCAGAGCCTGGAGCCTACTTCGGATTCTGTGTCTCCCTTTCTCTCTGCCCCTTCCCCACTAGGGCTCTGTGTGTGTGCCTCTCTCTCAATATAAACAAACATTAAAAAAAAAAAAAGGCATGA